TAAACCCTTTTTAGAGCAATGCCCTCTAGGCAGGTACCTGCTGCCCCAGTCTCTGGTACAGCTCCTGGCAGCAGTGCATTCTGGGAGATTCCCACAGGTTGCCTGGTGGGACTAATGGAACCTTGCTGGCTGGTCCGTGCCCAGGTACCCACTGGCACAGGTCAGACCGGCACTGGGCAGCTCCATCCCAGTCTGATCCCAGTGGTACCTGGCATGGCCCTGAGCTGCCTGGAGCCCTGTTGTGGGTGGACTCAAGACACTCCAGATCCCACACAGCATCCAGTCCTGTGACCTCCTCTAGTGCCGGCTGCAGCATCTGAGTTTAACCCCTCCTGGAGCAGCCCAGGAGTTCAGCATCCCAGTGGGAAACCTCCTCTTCCTGCTGGGCCTGGGCCTGTAGCAAGGCGTCTTTCCCTCCTAACTCACACATTTCAGTACCAAAGCTGAGGTATCAACATGGCCTAGTGGTTAAGCGCATGGATGGGGTCTGGAAAAACTGATGTTCCATGCTGAATTGAGCCACTGACCTACTGAGTGACTTATGAGCCTTTGTGCCTCAGTTTCTCTCTCCACATTTTGTCTACCTAGAGTGTAAACTACTCAGGGCAGGGATTGTCCCTGGCTGGGTTTTGTGCAGAGCCTGGATCTCACGTGGGGTCTGTCAGGGCGACTGTGATGCAAATACAAGTAACAATAAATTCTAGTCCTCAAATCCATAGCAACAGCCGCTTATAAACCCCCTTCTCCAGTCTGAAGGCAGCACATTCCCATAGCCAGCCTGCTGCTGACCCATACCCCTCCCATTGGGTAATGGCCCCGCATTTCCCCAGCATGGGGCTGGGTGCAGAAGGATTCTGCTGAGCATCTCAGAGAAGTTTCTCTCAGCTGGTGTCTTTAAGGACTTGCTCTATTGCCTCAGCTGCCCCCAGCTGGACCATTTCTTTTGTCGCAGCCTCTCCCGGGAAATCAGGGAAATTAGCCAGTGAGTAAAACCCAGAGTAATTCCCAGCAGACAGGGCAGCAGCTCCCTACCTTGTACTCCTGGGCAGCCTCCGCTATGGGCAGCACCGTGTGCGCGCGGTGAGCCCGGGACTCTCTGCAGATCACACAGATGAGGGCTTGATCCTCCTCACAGAACAGCTTCAGCACCTCCTGATGCTCCTCACACAACCCACCTCCGCCTGCCTCCAGGCTCAGCTGTCTGACTAGTTCTACCATGTTTGCCAGTGGCCTGTTGGGCCGGAGGGGGCCCTGCTGCACCGGGGCCCTGCACTGCGGGCAGGAGGCGGCTGGGTTGGGTTCCTCCCAGCACCGGCTGAGGCAGGCGCGGCAGAAATTGTGCCCACAGGCTGTGACCACCGGGTCTGTGAAATACTCCAGGCAGAGGGGACACGTCGCTTCCTCCTGCAGGCTTTTTACAGGGCTGGCTGCAGCCATGGCTCCTCGGGGCGCGGGAACAGAGAGAGTTTAAATTTCCTGAGCTCAGCCTTTGCCCCG